ATAGCTCGGCAGCCCGAATTTGACTGCATTAATACCGATTTTTCCAAGTTCATTGAATTTGGAGTACAATTAATAGGATATCCGCTACAGAACGTCAATTTGAAGCGATTTATACTTCTTCCACGTACATACTAGGCAGTATTATGATATTATATTGATATGTCTGTTGTGAATGAGACGTGAATGCAAATGAAATGGTTCAACAGATGATGCTCGTAAAGAACAATCTGAATAGTTGTGAAAGCTGGATATAGACAATACTCAAATACAAACTAATCAGATGCCCGAGGCTTGTTGATCCACATGGCACAAGTGTGCAACGATAATCAAATTGCCACGATCTTCTACATTTTCACGAAATAAGCATTTAGTGTTTTGGCCCAGTCCAACCGCGGCGCAGCTTCCGTCGTTTGCGCTTAAAGACAACTCCCAGTGTTGTTTTGCAATGTATCTGCGCTTTAGAGTGCAATGTTGGACGACAGCTGCCAAATCTGCCTCAAAGTGCAGGGCGGCATTGCCCTCATCCCCCACCACTTCAGCCAATGACTCGAAAAAATTACTGAGGACAGTAGCGTAATTTCTATAAAAAACTTGGAGGGGGCTCAGTGATGAAAAATGACGAAACCCATCCTGAACTAATATTTGGCCCATTTTCCTCTCAACGTCTGTTTTGTAGGGTTGGAGCCCGAACTCAGCTCGGGGTTTGGAGCTCCGCCCTCAACTTGATAGGAAGCTTCACCCCTGGTTGAGAGAAGTGGGTGTTGTGCGTTAAAAAAGATATGTCGTGCTGGCATAAAATATGTTAATCTCATTTTCATACGGGTGGTGGTGGTGATTATTGGGTTGGGGGGGGGGGGGAGGGGGGATTCAGCCTCTCTATGGTGGCTTCTTCAGCCTCATCGACTTACTGTTTCAGCTAGATAAATGAAGTTGTGTTACTCTTCCCATCAATGTTACACATTTCTGTTAAAATATTGAGTGCCGTGAGGACCCCAGGGCGATCGGGGTCAGTTACAAAAGCCATGTCACTTCGGGTTTTTTCAGACGCATTTGTTTTGAGATTGATTCCTTCTAAAAACTTTTAAACAAAACTGATACTAAAATTTGACTGGGATAGCAGCTCATGTTGATGCCCACATGACAAATGACCCTATACCTCACCGTTGAGTGCTATCAAATTGCGAGGGGCGGAAGTCACATATATGCAGGGAGGTAAGGCGCCGCAACGCAAAGACGGCGTTGACTTTCAGACACGATCATTTCGTGGTTTACAGAATGTTATCGTCACAACGGAATCCAAGTCTGCTCTTAGAAATCTCGAAGCCGTTTTGTCTCTCCTCTGATCGCAGAACAATGGCAAGCGTGGTGTCGCCAAACATTATCTCTTCCAGGCACGCAAGCTTTGCCACAGTAAACGAAAAGGTTATCGAGTCACACTGGCAGCCCGTCGGATTACAGCACGCCCAGCTGCTAAACCCGCCAAGAGACGTCAGTGCCTGTTCGGCGGCAAGTTCAACGTCAGCCAAGAAAAGGAGGCAGGTGGACTGCATCAGCGGAAGGTTATGCAAACAGCCTCCGTACGCAAGCCGCGTGCCGCAGCAGCAAGGGTTGTAAAATACCGCGGAAGCGTTCAAGGGCCACAGAGCGCGGCTCAGAAACAACCCGAGAAAGTACACGCGGCGAAGGTGCTTAAGAGGGAAGCTGCGAGGTACGATCCTGCCAGGACGGCGCCTGCTGAAGGTGGATGGTATGAGGACGGCGCCTGCTGAAGGTGGATGGTGTGAGGACGGTGCCTGCTGAAGGTGGATGGTATGAGGACGGCGCCTGCTGAAGGTGGATGGTGTGAGGACGGCCTGCTGAAGGTGGATGGTATGAGGACGGCGCCTGCTGAAGGTGGATGGTATGAGGACGGCGCCTGCTGAAGGTGGATGGCGTGAGGACGGCGCCTGCTGAAGGTGGATGGTATGAGGACGGCGCCTGCTGAAGGTGGATGGTATGAGGACGGCGCCTGCTGAAGGTGGATGGCGTGAGGACGCGCCGCTGAAGGTGGATGGCGTGAGGACGGCGCCTGCTGAAGGTGGATGGTATGAGGACGGCTGCCTGAAGGTGGATGCGTGAGGACGGCGCCTGATCAGGTGGGTGACATGAGGCTGCAGGCAACATGCGTACTTCTGTTTTAAGTCAGAGGAGCATAGTAAGCGCTAACACTGCGACAAAATATATTTATGTTCCCATCTGTCTTCAGGCGACTGTTATACAACAAAAGGACATGGCAAGACAGATAGTCACAAGGGTCCTCAGGCTGAGAGGCTTGAACTCGTCGGCCCGAACCGAGTCCAGCCGGTGTGTTCCGATGTCATTCACACAGGCCGAATGTACCGGGGTAATTAACTCAGGGAGATGTAATCAATTGCCTGCCGGAGCCAAACGGAAGCGCTAAAATGCAGGAAGGGGGGAAGTGTGGAGGGTAATACCCAGCATATCCAGTGCGTTAACAAGGAGAGAGCGAGGGTTGAAAATTGACCCAAAATGCGTAACATAATTTGTGGACGTTTGCTTACTGATATGATACACACTTGCGATTTCAGTGGGATGAGCCGAAATCAGATAGCATTTACAACTACGTCTCGTGTTGGTGTGATACAGCTGCTGAAGAAGATTGGAAGATGGTAGGCGGCCACCTGACGCGTCCACTTGTCTTTGTCACCACGCCGCCATGCAGTGTTGCCATCACCATGGTCTGACATCGGCCTCGGCGGGGAATCGTGGCATGTCTTTTTCCATCCGACCTGCGCCCACCCATGACAGACTACGAGTATACTAGTGGGGCTTACAAGCGCTTTAAATGATGAGTTACATGAAGTCTGGATATCTACAAAATCAAGCAAGTGTAGCATTACCTCGTTTATGCTGAACAACGTGCAGCGAAAATAGAAACCACTGAACCCGTCGGCCTTTTGGTGTATTGCCCCACCTTGTTTTGTTTCGATAACCATTAGAACAATGAGCAGTACTACAAGTTATGCTTTCTGCTCGGCCAATAATGCTTGAGAACCACGAACGGAAATGAGCCTCGTTGAGCACGGGTGAAAATATGGGCAAAGTTTTAATGCAGCGTAAATCAGCTGACTAGCTAGAGTTCATTGAACAGTTCGCGCCCGTAATGGCACAGCCCAGACCCTCCGCTCCTTTGCCCACACCCTTTATGAAGGACAACATACAGAAAGGTAAATGGTGACATAACCGAAGAGTAGGTGTAACTCTTGAACACGAGATCTTGTTCTCATGTTTTTCGGCTCGGCTGCATTATGCTTTCAAAACACCAGAGCCAGTTCCAGTTGTGAAGGCGTCGAGGACATACAACCATGCTGGCCTTTCACCTGACGCGTCAATAAAAAACAGGATTAAACGATAAAAATGCGGCCCTGATAAATCGGCGAAGGCTGGGAGCAACGAAGCCTTAAAGATGTTTCAAAACAGGTAAGTACGCGCGTGAGCCGAACACACTGCAAAACGATGCGGAATGCGTTCTTGAATCATCCGGCAGCTGTTACCGTCCACATGCACATCAGTATTTACACGGCAAGTTCGTGTTTGAAATGTTTTGCACTTATTGCATTTTGGCTCCAAAATTCACATCAGAGATCTTTTGCTTGCAGCATTTTCGCACAACAGTATGGTAACATGAAACAAAGTCTAAGCTTCACAAATAGCAACAGTATTGTTTGGTTAAAATCCGATAGTACTTTACATGGTACGGTTATATATCTCGGGGAGAAGGGGGGGGGGAGGCGGGCTGAGACTAGAGATGCGTTACAATATGTTCCTGTGAATTGTAAGCTTGCTATTGGCGACTTAAAGCATTCTGATTTGTGAATTATTGAAACATTAGTTGTGGACCATGGGCAGCACATAGACATCCCCTTTTTCATTTCTGCCAGATAATCAGAAGGACAAAACGTGAAAAAAAGTTCTAGTTGAAGGCAAAGAAACCAAGTCTATGTGCTCTGATTATCACTTGCTGGGAGGAAGGGGGATCAGTTTGATGTCTGATACCTTTTCATAACAACTTCCGAACGGTGCGACGCAAACGCACTAAGCTATGTGTAGTTGTAGGCAGTTGAATATCCGAGTTTTTTGTGTGAGCATTAGATTTACCTCATGAGGTCGCTAAGCTGCAGCAGGTCAAAGCCAGGCCATAGATTTCAGCGAAGGTCATTCCGGTTGAATCTTTTAGGCTGATCCGGCAGCGGAGAACTTGACGAAGCCATACAAAGCTGAAATGGTTTCGCCAGCAATACGATGATTGAAATAATAATAACGACTAATTGTATTAACCTTAAGTCAAGTTTACACATTAGATCAAGGAAGAAAACCAAACCGCATCTTACTGGAAAGCTTGCTTCATGAGGAAATTTGGACGCTCAACTCAAACGTTTTCATCACAAGGACATCAACAGATCACTGTTGAATTAATACATTACTATTTTATCAACAGATTACCGTGTTTGACCTCAATAGGACCTGAGGAGGTCAGACTCCTAACATGACCGCAGTCAGCCTTTTACTTTGAGGAATATGTCGCAAGGAGTGTTTCTGACACTAAATGTAAGTTTGAATATCGAAAGGTTTCAATAAATCTTGTGTATTTTTGACCTTTAGTTAAAAATTTAGTGTACTGAATGTCATTGACCTGATATAAATGCGAGTGACCTTTTGTTAGAAAAAAGTGTTCAAAGCTGTTAGTTACGCCGATAACAGCCTGAGGACGGCAGGCGCGTCGATTGCAAGTTTGATCTATTTGACCTTAAGGTCACGACCTGGGTACGTACAAATTTGGCTCGAAGGAATTTACATATAACCCTAGCTACCTGGTGAGTTTGATGTCAATAGCTCTTTGTTTTTGAGACATCAGGGGGAGAATTCCCCTTCCCCCCCACCCGAGCGCTTTGTAATCGGCCGGCCTTATAGTCACGTGTTGGTTAAAAACCGAACACAGGAAAACACTGTATTCCTCAGCATGCAACACACAACACTCATGACGTTTCTTTCAACACATGGACATGCCACGGCGTGAGCGACAACTCAAACGTCGCAATGAACATTCTCACAAAAACAAAACAAATAAAGCGAGCATTGTCACGTAGAGAGAGACATGAAAATCTTGCGTACTATTTCACTGCATGAAGGCAGCAATTCTACACGGCCAGCACAGTCCAGAGTTTGAAACACTTACCACTGCTACTGTCCAATCTGACTAGATAAACAGGTCTCCCACTCGGGTGTCCAACAATGGCAATGTGAGTTGCTGATTTAGCTGCTGGTCATTGACCTGCTGCTGCTCGAACTGTTGTCTATTCAACGGCTGCTGGTCGAACTGCTGATCATCTAGCTGCTGAAGCTGCTGTCCATCGAACCGCTGATCGAGCTGCTGGTCATTGAACTGCTGCTGATCAAATTGTTGTGCGGTTACCAGTTGCAGCTGGGGCTGCTGTTGGTTGACCTGCTGCTGGTCAAATTGTTGCTGGTTAAGCTGTTGCAGGCCAAACTGCTGCTGGTTGAGCTGCTGCTGATCAAACTGCTGCTGTTCGAACTGCACCTGGTCAAACTGCTGCTGGTTAATCTGCTGCTGGTCAAACTCCTGTCGGTCGAACTGCTGCTGGTTGAGCTGCTGCTGATCAAACTGCTGCTGGCTGAACTGCTGCTGGTTGAGCTGCTGCTGATCGAACTGCCGCTGGTTGAACTGCTGCTGGTCATTGAGGATGATGCCAGCCCCTCCGTTCTCGGCCCAGAACAGCTGCGGGTAGTCCCGCCTCAGCTGCTCGTACTCGGGGATCTGAGCTGGAGGCTGCGGCAGGTGGGCGCCCTGAGGCTGGAAGCCGTTCTCGTCGGCCACGTAGCTGACCTTGTAGGTGTTGCCGTCGTCGGCAATGAACTGATAGCTGCCCTGCTGGGAGATGCTGCCGGTCTCTGGCTGAGGTCCCGGCTGCACTCGACCCACCTCCTCCATCTGTCAAGACATAAATAAGCACGTCGAATCATGTAAAAACCGGGACACAGTAGGCGGGAAAGCTGATTCCCCAGTGTCGAGCCAATGGAACTTGGTTAGGGAAAACCAAAACCGACTGACATCCTCCCCCCCTCTTTCCTTCTTCCCTCAACATGGAGCATGCTACTTCATTAGTCGAACGGATCGGCTGGTCACGAGTTGTGAGAAACGGATGACTTCTTTTGGGCATTAGCGGTCGTGTTACCACAAAGCACGGCAAGAACAATCTTCTCCATTCTAAAATGAAACTTGTTAATTGGCAAAACGTCGCCGACATGTCAAGTGGTAAAGCTTACCCTCTGTCCGTTACTTTGGTCATAAGCGTATTCGTAGCTGCCGCTTATGTCCTGCTGGAACCTTTGACTGAGAATGCGGATTTTTGGCGGACCGCTGCTGATAAACTGTTGGCTGTTGAAGTCCTGGGCCTGGGGAGCCGCAGTGGCGGCAGCCACCAAGAAGGCCAAAAGAAGCTGAAACAGATTGAGAACAGTCATCTGTGCTCAATTCGTGCTGCACGTATTTACATTCTGAACCCCAATTAGGCGCAAATAGTTATCCAGCTGCAGAACTATCGATGAAAACCAATGAAATCAAAAGAGCGCAGGTGCAACGCTTTTTACCGTCCACAAAATTGCTGAGCTATTGTAAACAATTTAATGCAAACATTTGCGTTCATGGACGTGGATAGCCCCAAAACCACTGAACGCATTTTGGAGCAAGAAATGAGCATAACATTTATAAATGCTTTGCTATGAGAGCGGACATTCCCTAGAATGCTACGCACGAATGGATGTATTGACCCACCAGCGTCATGCTTGGTTAGCTGGTGTGTAGCTCAAGCTCGGCGGTTGACTGAGGAGTGATCGATGGCGGCGCGTTATATAGCTGATCCCCTTTCGCCATTTGGCAACTCCTGTCGGCTCGACGAGATACAACGGGGTTATGCCACGTGACACGAGGAGCATACCGGTCATGCCACCTCCTCGGTCCTCGGGAGAGAACTGGTGGCGTTTTGAAACGTGCGACGTCGCTCCTCAAGTCACGAAATGGCTGTAAGCTGTCAGGTTTTTTAGTGTCCGGGTTTTTACTGCTGGCAGCGGTGTCATGTTTGGGTTACGTTCAACGTGCACGTTGGATTTGCTTTTTGCAGCATTCCTGTTTAGAGCGTCGGTAATTGGGGATGTTCAGTGCATGATCCTGTTTTGGTGTAGCTACTCGCGCCTGAGCTGGAGACCTATTGCCACCCCTGCATGAGATGACTGCATCAGCCATTAGCTCAGTTGCCGTCCAACGGGTGATTTATAATTTGTAATGGACACGCCAACTTTTTGTAAAAGTCTGTCATGGCGAAATACGTATTTTTTTAAATACCACGATCCAGATAAACAAAAATGCATTTTTTGTGGGTTCAAGAGATTGTATATTAACCCATTTGGTCTACCGGTATGTGCATTCTTCTAATCATGCAACTTCGTGCAGATCTTTATCAGCTCAGGCTACTCAAATCTGACATCGATCCGAAAGACCTCCTCGCGAAGAGACTAATCCATGGTGTGCGCTTCAGAACGAGCGACCCACGCCTAAGCGACTTTCACGCTAGCGTTGTTGGGCAAGAGCCCAAATTGGTACCACATCTGAACTACACCGAAAATATAATAGCAAATGTCAGTACCGTTCGGTTGTCATTAGGGCTACCAAAATCTCCGCTACACTTTATTCCGTAGTCAATTTTGTTCCGTCGTCATGCACTTTTTCCTCATTTGACGCTTGCATTTCTTCATGATTGACTCCCATGGGACCAAACCTGGCATGGCGATTTGTCACTTGAAAGGGAACCAAAAAAGACCCCGCGGAGGAATTCACTGATGATTTTGAGAGAACTGACGACAAACGACGGGTTTCGCCCCTGTCTATCCTAGTTTTCATACATCTCAGACTTGTTGCCAAAACTGACCATTCTAGGACCTAGGACCATCTCTTACAATGTCAGTGTGAGAAAGGCTGCACTTACCCACGCTTTTGCCACCAGAATTACTCGGTCTTCCTTCCGTTAAAAATGTGTTGGTACCGCTCAGCTATGGCTTCAGGGGGTCAAGATCTCTGCTGAGTAACGTACACTCCAGGGCGTTTTTGAGGGGGTCAGTTGCCTGCAGCGTAGCACAATGATCAGGACCCAATGATCAGAAATCAGAAACAGGACATTCGGGGAGTCTTCGGTCAGATTTTCCCCTTCATCGGTGTTCACTGTGCAAAGGCGGCCATGCCAGCCCTTCGACCATTAACCTTTTGGAAAGGCGCTTTGAACCTCTGAAAGGAGGCATACAAGATCGCCTTCTCACACTTCAAAAATTATCATCAGAAAATTCTTCGAAACCGCTCATGGATCACAGTGAAGTCATAGAGAACGCAGAGCTCCCAAAACGTCCAGCTACGCCCGACAGCCTTGGAAAAGGCATGCCAGAAATCCCTTAAACCTTAGGAGGGCGTCACATATTTTGCTATTGACATCAATAAGAAGCCACAAAGGCGTCCTTGTACCGACCGACCTCTGCGCGGACTAAGATGAGACTGTCCACTAGGCGCGACTCGGGGACCCAACCACTACACTAGTTCACGGCCACTGTCCAACCACTGCACTAGTTCACGGCCACTGTCCAAGGGCTCGGCGGCAGTAAGGACAAGGACGAACGCGAAGGTTCAAGTGGGGTACGCGATTATGCCGGCTCGGGTGAAATCAGGGTCTGCGCTGGCCCGTTTGGGACCGACCTTTGTGTCGGCCCAGTAAGGCTCTGACGGGACCTCTAGCGGCACCGACTCTGGCTCTGTAAGGACTATTAGCTGCACTTGTATTGATGTGGGTCTGCCTTTGCGCTATGACTCTGACGTGATTACCCGAAATGTGATGGCTCCCAAGAAGCTGGATTCTTTGCTGGTTTTAGTTGGCTGGCCCGTCATTACTGTGGTGGGATTACCCGACATGTGATGGCTCTAACGAAGACGGATTCTTCGTTGGTTTTAGTTGGCTGCCTGTCATTACTGTGATGGGATTGCCCGACATGTGATGGCTCTCACGAAGTTCGATTCTCTGCTGGTTTTAGTTGGCTGCCCGTCATTACCCCGGCTGAGGCGAGTCTGACCACCTCTTGTTACGTGCCAATTTTGATTTTGATCCGGCTGGCCTGATCTAGTCTGACCTTCAAGTATGGTCGTGACCTGGTGATGCCAAAAGACGCATCGATGTAACTTACGTGTAGATCATACATTAAAACATGAATACCGTGGTAGCATATTGTTTAGCTTACACTACCTCGGGCTGACTTGTTTCGACAAATGACTACCTTTTCTTGCGTGCGTTTTGTGTTCTTAGCTCTTTTTCCCAAGAGATGGCGCTGTGACCAGAAGTCTCATCCACTATTTGCCTTTGGTTTTTATAGACTTTTGCTGCTCGCGATCTGTTGTCGGGCTAATTACGCACAACTTTTCTTTAAGTTTTGTTATGGCGGGTTCCTTCAATTTCTTTCCGATGTTTTGTATGCTTATAGATTTCGAATCCATTCTAGGCCTGGAATTCATCGCGGCTGTATGTACAAACGGTATGCACGGCCCGATATAGCTCAAGCTGTAAAAATAAAATTACTGAGTGTACCCCTCTCACGGGTATCTGTTTTGCAGCTTGCGGTGTGCAAGCCCATCCCGGTGATGAACTTGACGTGCGCTAACATAAACTGAACATTCCAAATGTTTGAAAAACTAAGAGAACTAGAGGCAAAAAATTCACAGGATGGCAGATCTGTATGTGATCTCATTCGTTCCAAGCTCTGATGTCACAAGCAATAACATTCCGGTTAAATAAGGTTAAAAAATGTCAAACCCCAGACAGATATTAAAAGTGCCTCCGTTCTCCTCATGCAACCACGTTAAATCTAGATGCCTCTGTTACGCAAGAGGTCACGGGTGTTCGTTTGAGATGAGGTACCTTATTTGATATTCAGAAGGTTAATGCAATGAAAACCGACAAGATTACTTTGATCCTTTAAGTTAAATAAGCACCAAAGATTACGCTAGGTGGCGTGTTTCCAGAAACAAAATGTTGATCGAGGTAATTCGGGTCAGTAACTAACTGTTCTGAAGTCCAAATAAAAGTGTGTTGGCGTCCCGTTGATGCTTCAAAATGAGCATAAAAGTACCTCAAAAAGCAACTACCCGGTAAAATGAACCATTTAGCTTAGCTCTCGATCTGATCTTCGGACATGGCCCAAGGGAAATAAAATTGGCCATAATCTTACCTATTTTCGTCAATCTGTATAAGAAACCATATCAGAGATGTAGGGTCTTGTAAAACACTCGTTGTCGCATCGATTGAACGATGTCTCAAGAATTATCCTCGCGGACAGCCATGGCTTGATTTGATCCGCCACACATCAGCGACCTTGCGAGGTACATACACATTTTTTTATGCCAGAAAATGTATATTCAATTGCCTGCGGCTCTAGAAAGTTGGACGCGGGTACGCCGCACCGATCGGAAATTATTCTGTAAGTCCCGGGGTGGGGGAGGGAGGGGGGGGGGGTCAAATTGACCCTCATCACAACGAACGCGTGTTAAAGTCGTTTATCTATAGCAGGTTGAAATCATGTCATGGTCGTCAGCAAATGCAATTATCAGAGAAGATTTGAAGCTTACGCGACAACGGTGTGTTAAACGAAGTCAACAAGTTTTGAGATGGTTTTAGATAGAAGGAACTAGGTTTAAAACTGATTTCTTAAATCTTCGATAATGTGTGAACATCACATCACGGACAACCCAAAGAGAAAAAAACGGTTTTTATTGAAAAACGTGCTCTATAGAGCAGTTTTTTGACACTCATTTGAAATTCCTTGATCACGGCATATCAGCAGATTTCTTATTTGGACGCTCCGTAAAGTTCAGAAGATATCGTTCCCTTAGATGACCTCAATCAACCTTTTGTTTATAAGAAATCTGCTGCCTGGGAAGTATATTTACGCTACTTATATATTCGTTTATCAACATGATTTCGAATGTTTGGCCATGATGCCCTTTTAAACGTCCGATAATGGCACTGCCCTTATATGATCTCGAGCAGTATTTTGTTTAAAACACATATTTGGTTTAAAAGCTGGTGTATACGGAGGTCCAAGACCATTTCGAATGCTTGTTCCAACTTTAACTTTTTGACCTTATTTGAGTCAAAGGTCACTATCTAGAGTCCATTTAGAGGCTTAAAAAATTGGCAGAAATGCTTTTTTATAGAGTACTCCTTACCATCTGAATTCTGCATCTCTGTCTCTCAGAGTTTTGATATCTCAGGGGCTCGAATGGACTCCCAAATGGACTCCCACACGAGCGGGTTGCATTCAACCTACCTATGCCCGGGCTCGTGTTTAACGCTTGTAAAGGGGACAGGCAAGATGTAGTGCCATTTGCAATGTTTTAATCGCCTCCAGGTCGTTGTTAGGAGGTTCAGTTTATACCTTAGTGTGAAAAGACGTCTTGATTCGGCTGAAAAGGTTTGTGACAACATTCTCTAAAAAAAAAAAACGGCGTTCAGAGGGGTGGCTTGACCAACTTGCACAGGGGTCTTGGAGCGTTCTTGTTTCTAGCTGTGACCCGGTGTCGACCGGTATTATACAGCGTTTTCGCAATCAGCGCAATTTTCACTTCCCATGTTAGTCAAGTGGGAAAGTTTTGTTTGCGCAAACTGGAACATTGCAGGCTGATCACAGCCGATCAAACAGGTTTCATGAGGACGTCACAAAATGTACACAGCTCAACTCCCGACAAACTGCTCATGTTCTGAAATCTGCATGAAGCCCCCACCAGCGGTTGCATATATCAGCTTCTAGAAAGCGCGATGACCAGGTTGAGCCGGACCATCGCTGTTTTTAAAGGCTAGTATCTATGCGACTACTGAGCACAGCAGCAGGCAGTTGTCCATGGCCCATTTAAGGCTTTCTGAACGTGCGGTGTCGCTTGTAATTGGTTGCATGCATTGTGTGCCAGATATAGGGCAAAACGTTTGTAGGCTACTTCACCAGGTGATGCTTACCGTGCAAATGGCAGGCAAACATACATTGAATGTATTGTTATGGCGGAAAATGCTCCCAATTGACCTTCGTGGGTGGTCCATGGTTGTGCTGGAGTGTCAGCTCTCGGGTAAGCGTCCGCCTTCGTCGCCTCCGCCTCGGGTAAGCGTCCGCCCGCGCCACCTCCGCCTCGGTTAGACACATGCCTGCGTCGCATTCGCCTCGGTTGAATGTCCGCCTGCGCCGCCTGCGCCGCGCTTAAGCGTCCGCACGCGTCACCTTCGCCTCGGTTAAGCGTCCGCCTGCGTCGTTTTCGTCTTAGTTAAGCGTCTGCTTGCGCTGCATTCGCTTCGGTTAAGCGTCCGCCAGCGTCGCCTTCGCCTCAGTTAAGTGTCCGCATGCGTCGCCTTCGCGTCGGTTACGCGCCCAGTCACGACTGTTGGAAATGCTTGAATGAGATGAAATGAGAATGCTTAAGTTGCAAAGATGTCTTTGGTCATTTTAATGCACTATATGTTGCCTTCGGACTGTTTCTAGGCATCATGACGCTTATCGTGGGTGCTGTTTGAATGCCCAGAACACCGCCCGCAAATCTTGTTTTCTAAGTGCGAAAACACCCATTTCATTTGCTCGCAACAGTTTTATTTTCCAAAAACTCTTGAGCTGCCCGACAGACCTCACCACGAAGCCAATGGAACAGATGTAGAACACGAAACGAAGTTGCCTGCAAGCCAAGCTTGCCTTGCCGTACACCGAGAATACACTGGCGTGCAAACAAAGCGCAACATGGATCTGACTGGACAGTGTCATCACGAAGATAAGATAAGCGGATTTGAGGTGTTTTGACGAACACATCACACACCGTTTCGACTAGACAACGCGATCCTCCAATCGGGCGTCCAGCAGTGGGTCACCGACCTGGGGCAGGTTAAACCGCAGCCGGTCGTCGAAAACGATGCCGGCCCCTCCGCTCTCGGCCCAGAACAGCTGCGGGTAGTCCCGCCTCAGCTGCTCATACTCGGGGATCTGAGCTGGAGGCTGCGGCAGGTGGGCGCCCTGAGGCTGGAAGCCGTTCTCGTCGGCCACGTAGCTGACCTCGTAGGTGTTGCCGTCGTCGCCGACAAACTGATAGCTGCCCTGCTGGGAGATGCTGCCGGTCTCTGGCTCGGGTCCCGGCTGCACTCGACCCACCTGCTCCACCTGATGGCGACGACCGCGTCAGAACTTGGCGGATCTAAGCATAAGATGTTTCAGAAAAGAGGTGCTCATAGTCAGTGTTTGGATCGTTCAGTTTCATCTATCGACCACGCTAAGACAGTGATGACCAGCAAGTACAGCAAGACATCCGGCAATGATGGCTAATGCATTCGTTAACTGTGTTTTTAAAAGCCGTTTCCACTTTCGAAGATTGGGTGAGGTGGTCATGCGGTGTTCACCAATACCACACTTTTCTGCGCATTGTTTTCAGCGGTCCCCTTGTTGGACGCAAGTAACTTATCAAAGAACATTTACCCGCTGTCCGTTGTCCAGTTCGTAGGCGTATTCGTAGTTGCCGCTGAGATCCTGGTCAAACTTCTGATTGAGGGTTCGTATTTTTGGCTGGCCATTAATGATGAAGCTCTGGCTGATGAAGTCCGACGATTGCGGGGCGGCAGCGGCGGAGGCCACCAGAAGCGCGACGGCAAACTGGAGCGGAATGTTGTTTTACGAAACGGATGCTATCTTCAATCCGCAAACGATGGGGAGGGGGAAGGGGGATAATAACTTAAGTGCCCCTTTTAACCCTCGCTCTGGTTCAACGCTTTTCGTAACGCAAACCGGTGGAAGGGATGTGAAGTGATGCAGCTCTATGCCGGTTCAAAGCTGGAAAAAGTCAACTAGAAAGCCTTGCAATAAAATCGACAGATGATTGGTGTCAACGAGATCTCGCGATAAGTAATAAGTTTTACTCTGCTTGGTCAATAATTGACCCCACTAGGCCATGCCAAATGTAAAATCTTCCTGAAAATCAAACCTTTTTAGTTTTGCATGCACTTATGAACGAAACCATGACCCATAACGACACATGAGCACATGATGCAGCGCTCCGTCCACGTAACAGTGTCGGCTCGCCGCGCGCGGTCCGCGGAGTCGTCCAGACCCACCCGCCACGCGCCGGCCGTGGGTCGCGGTGTCGTGTTCCCAAAAAACCGTCGCTTTTCAGAAAGCAGAAATTCAAGAAGCTTGCTTCGACATCCGGGTACGCGCATGGAATTCCCAGAGACTAATTAACATTTGGGCACGATTGCTCGGTTTGCTGGGGAGGTATCTTCAGAAAACTATGGGGGGGGGGAGGGACATCGAGCCCCTCCTGGCAGAGTAGGGCTTGAACCACATGACGCCATAGCATAGGACTAATGCTTAATTTCCTCCGACAGTCGAGGGAACTAATACCAGGTTAAACAGAAGTGCAGGTGTTCCCCTTTTTTCCTTCCCCTCTATCACAAATCGTTCCCTCGGCCAGTTTTTTTTTACTAGCGGCCATTGACCAATCTAATACGCGTGGTTTCTAAAAAATCTAACCAGCGTGACCGACACACCTTAGTCAGATGTCCGACATTCTGCCAAGCAGCGCGAAAGGCTGGGAAAAACATAATTCGGTGCCACTGGTGCTCTTGGAGTAGGGAACACACGCAATAAACAAGTCTCGTTGATTCTACTGTGGTAAAGTGCTTTTTGTTTAGCAATTTCAGTTGAAAAAATGATGTTTGATAAAACGTTGTTTTGCTAGCTCTGCCTTCATGCAAAAGATTGGTAAGCCTAGCATTTACAAGGTAAGGCCACATGCATGAAATAAGAAAGCATAAGATGCATGAATCGAGACCACATGCATAAGATTAATAACCATCCAGTCATCTGTCGCTTGCATATCCATCAAATCATTCTTATATGACGCAGCTACCGGGGAAATAGACAAAATATGTTTCCGTGCAACAGTTGCTGCGACATTGTTTAGAGGGACCGGTGCGGCGAAGCCTGATTAATCCCTGTCACGCGGCGCATTTTGATTATGTGTTCCGGCAAAGGTGAGCCCCCTTGTAGACCGGCTGAAACGGCACAGGATTACACTGACCAAAATCCATTCCAAGCCAAGGGTGCGTGACAGTGCGGATCAGATGAGCAGACCACCCGCGGGAAGCCAAATAACACAATCTGCTCCATGAAACACTCACCAGCCTCATCGCCGACAACATGGGAATGATCCGCACTGGGCTGAGGACGGCCTAAGTCTGGACACGTCCTGTGTAACTGAGCTTCAGTCCTGGTTAAGTAACGCTTAAGAAGGCTCGTCGGTGCGGACACGACAAATCCGCCCGTGCACGACCAGTGTCGGTTCCCAAGGCTTGCCGACACACGTCTGCGCCAGAGAGCTTCTGAAATCCTTAAACCTGGAGGTCTGGCGTGTCCCAAACCGCAACCACCGTGCCCACAATGGCGTGCAAGATTGGCTCATCACAGCTTAAGTTGCAGTTAGCGCACGATTTTTGTGCCGTGGTAAGTATTTCCGGGAATCGCATTCTGCATAGCTGCGCGACATTGCTTTTGGCGGCAATGCTCAGAAGTGCTTCGATTTTTTCAGGAACGCTCTGCGCGCATTCAGAAACAGTTTCGGCACATGCATCGATGCGTATAATTTTGTAAAGGCCCATCGTAAGCGTAGCAACTTTTCAAAAGTGGGATGCCAGATTTAAGCAGGTCATCGGAGTTCTGCCCTTTACGTTCTCAAATTGGATGTTTTTTTCTGTCTGTGCCTCTGCAGCCGTGATCTCCAATCCAGCCATGCATGTCGCTGCATCATCGGGATTCTGAGTAGCATGCTTTGGTTATCATTTGACACATCTGATAAAGTGTGATCCGATTTTTGATTCCTTTGGGCTCATTTCCCAATGTTCGACTTAAGATAGCGATCTCTTATGATGTCATGACTAATCAGCGCTTAACAACGACAAGAGCACCAACTCGGCGCTTGCTCCCTGACGACACCGTCAGGGTGATTGGGGGGGGGATGGGGGGGTGATTGGGGGGGATTATTATGCAATTGGGGGGGGGGATTATTATGCACGGTGAGGGAATAAGAAGCACGGCACATTCACCATGAGATGAAATGAGATTGGGCAGTACCGTCTCATATTGAACTCCTTTATCCCGTACACAGAAAAAGTGTCCATTCGCTCACGGGCATGGGAGACTCATATCAACGACTGCCCTTCATGAAAAGGGACAAAAATGCTCCCACTGCTCAACGTTCTATTAAGCACTTCTTTTATGAAATGTTGGTTGCGCTGCAATTGCGTGCATTACTACACTGCAAGAGGGAGACGTGTTTTACTGGCCTAAACCTTTTTCAGCATTGCTGTGTAAGGAGATAGGTTGTGGCCACATTGTGGGACGACTCTGCTGTTACCCATGTTTTGGAGGGTCAGTTTAGTTCAGTTTTTAAGTGGCTTTCCACCCTTGCTGCGCTGTCTTCTCAGCGTAAAGAATTTGAGCGCAAACTGCAGTCGTTAGCTCTCCGTATGAATCCTGCATGATGTTATGTTTCCATCAAGCGGAGTCTGCTCATTAGCTGTGAGCATTGAATCAGTTAGGTAAGTAATTCAAGCCAGTAATGTAGCCTGGAATATCTCTATTGTTGACGAAGAGCGATGTGTTGCAGTGGTGGTGATTTAAGAACCAATGCCGTCATTATCATCCTGGCGCAAACTTCGCCCTTGGCATGAGTGCGCGGTTTGCCTTAAAATGAGCTTTTTAGGCACTGAGAGTTGTCAATCAGCTGGGTTCCTGTCCCGGTATGTTGCCATAGGGTTTGTGAGGACCTGGTAAGTTTAGGTGCATTTGAATATACCATTCAGCGGGTGTAATTCTTCTTAGCTCAGTTATCTACTTCCACTCGTGGTCATTGGTATGTGGATACGAAGATTGTGAATTAAGTGGCAGGGTTCGAAAAATAAAAAAAGCCTCGTGAAGGCTGAGCATGCTGGTCTGCCCATTCCGCTAAGAAGAAGCTCCGCTTTTGGCGTAGAAGGTGGGTCAAAATGTGACCTGTAGCTGGCTACGTACTTTGGGAGAGGCATGTGGACAAGACATACCCTTTTGAACACCTTTATGGCCTAAAGTGACCTAAGCGTGACAATTTCAGGAGTATTTGTTGTGTTCAAGCTTCTCGAAAGTTTGTGAATATGTGCCAAGTGGTCTAAATTTGGTGATTGATTGTATTTTGGAGCATGTTGGGTAAGACAGTGCGCTAAACTGAGGACAGGACCCACCCAGTTAGGTATATGATTCATGATGATATCTGGCTTAGCATCTTGCTGACATCTTTGCCATAGCTTGCAAGCTGGCGGATTGTTTGGAAGGAATTTCCACTACGTAGATTGATGCTGGTGTCCCATGAAAAGCAAGCCATATCATATGTGGTTACAGGGAGCCTTCATTCATGCAAGTAATGCATTATTTGGTATGGGTTATGTGCATGACATGGATTCCTGGATCAAATAATGTCAATACACTACTCAAGCATTGTGTACACAACGTAGTCTTTCTTGCCACTCAATTTTCAATAGCATAAACAATAGAGAATAACTGCATCCAAATGGTGGTGGGTCCTCTTTTTGGCATCATCATGGACTTTCTGGATAAAAGGAAGGAAATGCAGTTTACCCTACCCCTCTCCCCAAAAATGTTATAGTAAGTAGGTAGGAGGTGTTGAATGTCAAAATAAGCAAGCTACACATTTTACGGATCTGGCTTTCTTTTCCTGGCTGGGACATTATCATGTTAAGAAAGCTGGTCAGCCCTTTTTGTTGGAGCCAAGCGTAGCTTTGTCCAAGTATGCCCACACGCAAGTGAGTACAGTAGCATCACCAACAGGAGCTGGGGAAGGAAACAGGAAAAACGCGTACTCAGCAAAATTTTGATTTTTAACGTAAAGGCATTCGATATTGAATTGAGAGAATCTGCTCAAAATTGCTTTCACCCCCCGATTTTAAAATTGCCACAAATTACCACGAAATTGCCACCGATTGTTAATCGGTGGCGACACCTCCAAGTCAGTGTGGTCATTCATGCCTATGCATTAGTCTTCCATATCATATTAAGGGTTGTGACCTTAAAGACAGCATCCTTCCTTTGTATTTTTCACTTATTGTTACATGAGATGCGTGCAATTTGATCACTAATACAAGTTTTCTCGAAATGCTTTTGAATAGCTCGGAATTTCGCTTTGAAGTAGCCGACCCAGCGAGAGAAATCTTATTTGGCCCCCTGCTCACCGCTCTGAAAGCAATGGATTTCATTTGCCTTGCGTGCGTGTGTGTGTCATTGAGGCTTTACGACGCACTCAGCTGCTGCGGCTATATGGCGTCGCCTGCCTCTCACCCTGGCAGGAAGGGCGGGCACCGCGGGGAATCGAACCCCATACCTCTGGTTTCCCAGACGCGCAGTGGTTAACGCAGACGCGTTGACCACTACACTACCGGCCCCCAGTTCATCTGCCTTGCTTTCTCTTAAGTGTGTGTTCTGTTATGTGCACAACACACTTATGTCCCAGAATGTTTGTGTATGAAGTGCTACGAAAGCTCGGAACAATCTGTTTAGAAAAAAATATGCGCGAATATGACGCCATTATCCCCGAATTAAACAAAACGTTACACTAAAGGTTCAATTTCCCCACTATGGCGTTTAGTACAGTGCCTCTTTTCGAGGAGTACTTTGGCTTTGGAAGTGGTCACATGACCCATATATGCATCGCATGATCCATGTGAAGCACAGGCTCAATCCTCAACCTGTGGCTTCTTGGTAACAGGGTCTTGCCCGCTGGGCCAATCACTAACGTACATGTCTTTGCACCAGTGGAGGTGTGCACGGTGGTCGTGATGACGGCGATGCTCGCGACAGCAGGAAAAAGCAAAGTGCTGTTACAAAACGCTGACAGGGTGAATTGGTTTGCAAAATAATTAAAGTTGTTGAAATGATTATAGCAATAGACAATTAAAGAAGACTTCAATTAAAAGCAGTTTACTATAAAGTAGAATGGTTAAAATAATCAAAGGAGATGATTATATATCAATGGTGCTGCGTTGGCACTATCCACTGACATTATCAGGCGCAACTAGTCCTAAGGTTTCACTGTAGCCTGTTTTTGAAATATGACTCAAATGTTGTGCAGTACCTACTCTATTTAAACAGCTCTACGACCTTGGCCGTTAACGAAAAGTGTTTACCGAAGCTATGGCAGAAATAATACACAAAAATAAGTATATACCGCTTGCCTCAGCGCAGAAAGTCATAAAATTAAGACAAAACGGTTTACACAGTTAAGAAAACATACCGTCCTCTTGGCAACATCACCGAGCGAGAGAAGTCCCTGCATAATTGTCCTCGGGGAGATGTCCCACGTCATCGTCATCAGAGAAGAATGCTCCCACGACGGCGTCCACATCCAGATCTTGGTGGTGCCGCGGGTAACCAGAGCCGGTTGCACGTCCTGCGTCCTCAGCATCGAGAACTGGGATTCAGATGTCGTCGTGGTCACTGGCACCGTGAGGTAAGTTCAGCTGCTTCCGTGCGACGACCTCATCAGTCGTCTGGTGGAACACGCTGTCTCTCGCCCCCTTCGCTTTTTGCAGAGCCCAGTTAGAGACACTAAGCCCAGTGAAGAGACACTAAGCTCAATGGCCCCTAATGACTGGGCACATGGTGAAAACTTGGAGACGAGAAAAAGGGGGTGAAGCGTATCATGTGTCATCCCAGAACAGGCCAAACTTCGGAAGTTTTGAACGGCATTTAGTCCCCGCAAAATCACTCGACAAAACTAGATTTTCAACGTAAACGTGGTACGCCTCGCTGCATCTGGATACATGCACGCACTGTCCAATTTTGAGCTAAACTTCACCACTTTCCGGTTTACGACAGTTAAAGAGTATACCACCAGCTGCAATCAGACACCGTTTGCTGAAGAGACGGCAACGTGCAAATATGCATTGCCAAGAACCGTTTCGTAACGACCAATCGGCATGGAACTATCGCATCTTTGTGTTTGGCAACTGGTCATGCTGCTGTCCATGACGACGTGCATTTCAAAGCTGGTCAAGGATGCAGGGCATTGTTGTCTCTGAAGACGTTCGTGCTCGTGAACGTAGCAGACGTCGCACAGCCATACTGTTTAAGGAGACATTCGGTCCGACCATCTT